CTCCTTCCAATGCAGCGTGACCTTGAGCACATTACCTAGCTCTTCTGTTTGCTAACAGCCGAAAGGACTACACAAAATACAAAACAGTGTTCAGGACACACTGAACAACAACCTCTTGGGTTTCTTCGACGGTCACCATTTTGCAAACAGAAGCTGCTCCGACTTGCTCTCAAAGCCTAGCTAAAAGGTGTCCCAAGGATCCAGGGACACAAACTGCAATTGCTTGAGACAGCTCAGCTCATTTGTGCTCTAAATATTTTTAATCTGTTCTTACGATTCTCACAGGCTGAGAATATTTGCCTCGTCACCTAAAAATAAAATAGCATTTGACAAAACCATGCAAATTCACCTGCTATATATGCATATAGAGCACAAGGCAACGGGCAGCCTGAAGCAACCACCACAAGGCTAGCAATTTGTGTGGCGGGTAACATAAAACTGCCTTTATTTAACAGCAAAGGAGACACTTAGCAGAGGCTCACTATAAAGAAAAGCACAGTTTTATGAGTGTCTGTTCCAATTTCTGTTTATGCAGTAGGGTTCAGCTGACCCACGGCTGCCAGTATTACATCTATAAACCATTTGTCACATGCCACTTTCTAAAATGCTGCTTTGTAATGATACACAGGAGCCCTTGTTGCATAGCTAATATATTTTACTACACCTTTGAGGTGAGGCAGCAGCAGAGAGCAATCTAGCCAAGCAAAGCCTGTCATCAATTGAATTCACCAGGAGTGTGATTAGCCAGTGGAGCAGTCGTGAGGTCTGCTATCAGTGATGTTTCAGGCCCACGTAGGATGGGCACGAGGCATCCTATAAAGTCTATTATACTTCCAGTATATCAGAAACATTCATTACACTTTACTACTTCAGCCTAGCCAGCAGGAAAATTGTAGTCTTTTTTTCCATAGGGTTGTTGGAAAAAAAAATTCATTGCAAACATTTAGAATGGTTAAAAAAAAACCCTCAAAGAGAACTGCCTGGAAATGTCTGATGGACACATGCAAATATTTCCACAGCACATCTGAGTAAGCTTTCCTGTCCTGCAAAAGAAGTGACACAACACTGCAATTTGCTTTGGCTGCTTAGGTCTTCGCTCTGCCGAATGAGATGATGCCTTGACTTTGGGGCCTACAAGAGAAAGAAAACCCTTTGCCCCCACACAGCGCTCTTCACTTAAAGGGGAATCTGCCTGAAGTATTTTCTACACAGAGCCCATGGTATAGCTGAGCAATTCTGAGCTCACTCAGTAGATGGTAGTGGCGCACTACTCATCCTCTATCTACTCTGCAGATAGTTAGAAAGTAATCTCTAGGCCTAGACATTCAATTCTCAGCTCACAAAACATATTTAAAGGCTTCTACTTCTGCTCTAATGCACAACCAGGGAATTCCTTGGTAGGATGCACTCATCTCACGTTATTGACAAAAGTTTTTGGCTATGTAGAAGTCAGATAAATGGCCTCAATGGCAGATTTACGTGTCAACAGAGAAAAGGTGAATATGTTTAGGATTTATTTTCTTTCACTGCACTAAATCTGTGTATCTTGAATGAATGATGGTCTCAAGTTAGGTTTAAAAAAGAAATCACAGGGCTTCATGTCAAAACTTTAAGAAAACAGAAGCAATGGAATAAAAGAGATCCCATTTTAAACAACATTTGCAGTACCTCACTCGTGCATGGATATAATTTTCCATCCAGCTTTGCTTATGAGAAATCAGCCTTATTAGTCTGAGAAATATCTCCTTCTCCCTGGAGATAAAGCAGACAGCACGACAGCCTAGGGAAAGGCTGCGTACGAAGCAGCCCACTGCCAGCACCCTTTGGCGGGCAGGAAGCAAGGGCAGAGCTTTGTATGTGGAGGGACCGTAGCCTTTCAGTTCTATTGCTATCCAGGGAAGAGGTGAGATTCACCCATATCGCTCAGAGATCATGGCCTAGATCAGTGGATCCTGACCTTCAAAATTACATCCATCCACTGTGAACCCTTATCATCACACTTTTAATTTTGGAAATCCTAAAAAAAACTGATCTGCATTGCGAATTAGGTAAAGGCAGTTTGCCAGAGCCTTGTGGACAAGCCCACAGTTTGAGAATCTGTGACATAAGTATTTCTGTATTCCTTTTGAGGAAGAGCTGTGCACAGTTTTTTTTCTTCTAGTGCTAGACACACTCAGCATGTAAAGGGAAAACCTAGCAGAGAACGGATCCTTTGGAGTGAGCTCCCTGTACTACATCTCTTGGGAGAAGCAGCTCTCTTGTACTGCCTGTTGCAGGGATTATCTGACAGGCATCTCTTTATTCCCCATTTGCAGGCTTTAAAGGAACATAGATCTCACTGAAAGGCCCAAACACAGACCCTTAGCAAAAATCCATAGAGGCTGCTTTTTCCCCTGTGTGTCCTGAAGAATCCCTCTCCTCCACACCCATGATGAGTCCCTCCCTACTCCATCTGCAGACGCAGCCTCCCTCACCACGCACATGGTGCAGGCATGGTTTACATCCCCAGACACGCACGCACTCAGCCCACACATGGGCGCCCACTCCCAACACGCACCTGCTCAGCCCAGTCAACGTACGTATACCGTCCGTAGTGATGCACAGAAAGAGGGAGGGGGGAGAGCAACTGATGAAATATCCCTCTTTCTTAAAACTGTGTTCCCTGAATGAGGGATGATGGTTAACCCCAAATCCCCAGGGTGCTGCATGCCTTGCCAGTGTCATCTGCTTGTTTTTCCTTCAGGATGTGTAACATGAAGTCAAATTTGAACAAGGACAGCTGTATCAAAGACAAGCAGCTTTCAGCAGCAATAGAGCAAGTCCACCTCAGATCCTGTCTTTCCATTGAGTTGCACATCCCTACATGAAGAGTTAGATTTAGTTAGAGTTAGATTCACTGCCAGTGAGCAGTCCAGGTTACAGGGCCATTATAGAGAGGGGGCTGGAAACCAACAGCTAATGCTGTTTGTTGTCTGCTGTAAACACCAGGCTGAGAATTACCGGTCATCTCTGAAAGGTGCTGGAATAGCCACCAGATGAGACTGGTCATCAGCCACTGGAAAGTAGTCCAAGGTCTACACTATTAGATATTTTAAAGATCCTTTTCCCATGACCATTTAACTAGGCTAGCCATCCCTCCTAATGGATGAATTCATAAACTATTATTCATACATCGATTCATAAACTACCAGCCTTTGTGGTAGAGCAGACCTGCACACCATGGGAGAGAGGACTGAAGGCCCAGAGCGGTGTTCAGCATACTGAGACCCAGGCAAGAGTTAAGGTGCTTGGAGGGAGATAAGCATTGATAAAAGCCTGGAGAGCGGGTGCCTCATTCTGCAGATAAACACTGCATCCTCTCTCCTCCCCGCCCCGCTCTGCCCACCCCACCGTCCTGCCTCTGACGCAGAGGGAGCTGCAGGGCTGAAAGAAACTTGTTTGAGGTTCCAATTAAATCTCCATGGAAGAGGGACATTCATATCCTCTTCTGATAAAAGGTAACAATAAATCCTCCAGGAGCAGCGGTTTCAGACCACACTGCCACTACCACTCGCAGCAGCAGCCAGCTCCTCACCCCAAGATGCGCTCCAGGGTAAGAGTTCATTTTGCTCTGCTCTGTGCAATAGGTTTGCATTGAGATGGGGGACAGCGTGGCTTGAGATTTAAACACTGCATTAATCTACTTCACTCTCCTCATTTTACATGCTACTTTCTCTTTTTTCTCTCTCTCTGTGAATATATATACATATATCTTTAACATATCCTCTCGCATCAGTTACCTTATTTGGAATGTCTTTGCTGGGACTCGGTGGTACAGTGGGAAGCTGCCCCTGTTTCCCAGCTCAGTGACTTCTGTGGCACTCATGTTCGATGATAGAGGGTTTGGGGGGAGGGGGGGTTGCTCTTTTTTAATGAATATCACTGCCTGGGATTTCAGAAAACAACAGGAGTGTAGGAAAGA